TAAGAGTCAGTGTCAGTGGGGAATCCGGGCCTTGTTAAGGAGGCCAGCTGTTATAGTTATTAGAACCAGTTTATACAAGCACAGCTGAAACAATTAGTAAATTAATCATTAGTCAGCTGACAGAAAATTACCTTGCAACTAGTTTGATAATTGTTTACTGTGTGACATTTGGCATTATTAAAAATGTCATGGTTAATTTTTATTAATCATTTATTTTTAAGATATTTTAAAAAATAATTTTGAGGTTTTGATTGTTGGTTGGATAAAACCTTGGGAAAGTGCCACTTTGGGCTCTAGGTGACGTTTCGGTGATGTTTCCAAATTAATCATTCAGTTATTTAATGGAGAAAATGATCAGCAGATAAATCCATAAAAAATCAATCAGAAGTTACAGTCAAAATTAGCTCCACCTCAGCCAACTACAACAGTAAAATCCTGCTTTTACATTAATATGAGTCATAATAATCTCTTGATATTAATTATAACAGTAGGACAGTAACAGCGGTCACCGTTTTATAGCATTATAAGTTTACTTTTAATACTTTAAGTATTTTTTTCTGATTATACTTACATACTTATACTTACTAACAGTTAAGAGTATTCTTTGCGTGGTATTAGTACTTTTACTTAAGTAAAGGATCTGAATACTTCCTCCACCACTGTTTATACTTGCTTTGTACTACATACATTAATCTGCCAGCTGTAGTTAGTTAACAAGCATAAGGAATATTAATTCATGAATGAAATGTGTAATAACACCGTTAGGAACCTGCTGTAATCTCAGTGGAGCCAGTTCCATCAATCAAACCGTTGAGTTTAATCTGTGGACCTTTGAGTTAAGACACTTACCTTTTCAAATGACCACAGAGAACTGGGTTCAGCAATTTATTTTTATTATTGAAATATAAACACAAAACATTTTATAATGTAACACAGATTAAAGAATGAAAACATAAAGCAAACCCTTATTACATTAACAGAAGTTATGCTTTGTGCATCATAAAGAATGTGTTGATGGAGGCATGTGGTTGTTTTTATGGAGAGGATTGTGTTTGAATAGTTGTTCTTCTGTTTTATTGTAGATTTGTTTTTGTAAATCGAAGTTTTAATGATTTTGTACGGCTGCTACCTTGGCCAGGTCTCTCTTGTAAAATATTTTTTGATCTCAATGGTAAAATAAATAAATAAATAAATAATGCTGCCCTGAGATTAATACTCATTAAGTATGGTTGTCATAAAGGGAATATCACAATCACTGTAAGTCACTCATTATATTCCATGTTAATGTACAGAAACAAGAACCGTTTGTTTAATCAACATTTTCTAAAACACCATTTCTCATTCCTTGACCGCACTCCTCTCTCTCGCACCGAGTCGGGACATTTGGACCTCAAAGGTTTTGTCAAATGCGCTGTAGTCCACCCGAAACGCCCCTTTCTCCAAGGAAATGCACGACTCAAATCGGTGGCCCCAGAGGACCTCATCCTCCGTGTAGGAAGTCCTCGCCTGGCATGTCATACCTGCAACACAACAAAGCATCAGAGGGTCAATAAATGTGAAATTATTGTAAAAAAAGACCTGAGAAATCAGTTCAGAACAGGATGTATCCACTTTTATACAAATACATTTTAAAACTTGTCTTTTTCTCAATGTTTCTGGACCTCCATCCACACTCTCATTTTCAACCAGTAAGAACAGAGCAGTTTCAAGAGCACTCTGTGATCTTGTTTCACAGTGACAGTGATTAGACTAAACTTTTCAAAAATACTTATTTAAGGTACTGTCAGCAAAGTAAGTGTCTTAAACCTGCACAAACACACAACTTGTACCATACTGAATGCCACAGGTTGCTGCTACCCACCTCGTCTAATCTCATCACAAAGCCAAATAGACCGGATTGTAGGATAAAATAAAGGAAATAATAAGTAATATGATGTGATTAATATGGCAAGTTTAGCTAACTGAATGTTCAGGTCTTCAAAAATATTTGAAAAATCTAATTTCAAAACAAAAAGCTATCAAAAAGATATCAGCCTACAGTGTATATTTTAAAGTTTTCTTATATCCCCTATAATCAAGAAGGCCTCGCGAGGCCCAGTGAAGCTTAGTTGGGGTTCCAAGCCCCAGGTTGCTCTATGGTGCCCTTCCAGTGGACAAAACACGATAAAGTGCTCTCTAGGATGCTAATCCTAACCCAGACTAATCAGTCCACCACTGGCTGAAACAAAGATATGTCAGCTGTGTTGTGTGTTCTATGAGACTGAAACACAAAAGAAGTGATCAGAGAGAATCAGAGGATAGAACAGAGCTGTATCCTGAAGATCAATGCGGGTCATAACCTTTTAAACCAACCACATTTCATATCAGATGCATCATTTGACTCTTCTTTCAAGACAGAAAAGGATCTAAAAATGCAACGTTCCTAAATGTAGCTGCTTTACTGTGGACATAATATTAGCTGGTGGCAGCACAAGACTTAAAAATACTTCTACAAACCCGAAGCCTCCACGATGCCCTCCAGGATGACAATGATCTCAAAGGTCTCCCTCCTCAAACGCTCGGACCCCACCTCCCAGAAGGGGCTGTTTTCATTGATGACGTGGGTAATGGTCTGAGGTTCCACCAGCAGCAGCCTGTCTCCTCCAGTGTCGTAGCCCAGATTGATTTCTGACTGCTCCAGTGGGATGAACTCGCCCTCCTTGGTCTGCCGGGACTTGATCAGCTTGGCGCGGATCTTGGCATCCACCATGTGGCTCTCTCTCAGATCCCCAATGCGGAAGAGCATGCACAGCTTCTCGTCGCGCTCACATATGACGCAGTGCTTGCTGAAGATCAGCGTCTGGGCTCTCTGCTGTGGGCGGGAGATTTTAACAAACATGCAGCCCACCATGAGAGCATCGATGATGGAGCCGAGGATGGATTGGACCATCAGGAGTATCGTCCCCTCGGGGCAGTTAGCCGTCACCATCCTGGAGCCGTACCCGATCGTCCTCTGGCTCTCTAACGACAGCAGCAGGGCTGAAAGGAAACTGTCTACGTTTTCATAGCAGGACTTCCACTGCGGATCGTGAACGTGTGCAATGTCGTCACGCAACCAGGCACCGAAGAAGTAGATCCCACCAAAGGCCACCCACGTGAGAATGTAGCACATAGTGAAGACGAGAAGGAACCAGCGACACTTGAGGTCGACTAACGTGGTGAAAATATCTGAGATAAATCGGCTCTTCTCCGCAATCGGTCCCAGATTGACCCTGCACTTGCCATCCTTGGTGACGTAACGCTGGCGCTGATTGCTGGCAGCGACGTGCAACGAGTCCTCGTCGCCCAGCAGCTTACAGCGCTTCTTGTGACTCTTTGCGATGTGCAGCTTCTCAATTGCAGAGACGGGAAGGCTGCTGCTGCCAGTGGAGCCTCTCGATTGCCACCTGGAGCTGAAACGCTTGAGGTGTCTGCTGCGATGCAAACGATGAGGCTTTGGCGTCTCTTCTACTGGTTCCAGAGGAGCTGCTTGGATAGTATGCTGTTGGGGCTGCTCTTGCTTAACCAAAGTCAGAGCCTGAGAGGACGGGCGGCAGAGACTCTGGGTCCGGGAGGGAGAGGCCTCCTGGGACGGCGGGAGTGATGAGCAGTTAACGTAGTTCAAGTTGTGGATGAGAGAAAGTCTTTTTGTGGTCATCATGGAAGCAACAGTGGATTTAGCTGTAACCTGAAATGAAGGAAAACAAAACCACATAAATAAACAAGTAGATACATAATTTATGTCAGACTGAAAGCTGTCCAAACCTTCAAAATGTGGCTCTGGATACAGTGTCTCGTTCTAGTGTCTGATCTGTCCTAAAGGTCCGGACTGGTGCTATGATCAAACCTCGAGGCTATATGTCTTGTTCACTTTGTTTCTTGGTAACTTTTATAGACAAGCAGAGACCATGAGTCAGTCTGAATCTAATCTCTATAAACAGATATGAATGCACAATCTGTAGGTGAGGGACAAGATTTTGGTATCAGAAGTGTCCTGGTTTTCATTTATAGTCCAAGAAGTATTTACCAATCACGTTTGAGTGGGCTTTGCACTCAGGTAAACAGTCTGTGTAGAGAGCAAAAGAGGTGGAAAACATTGGCCGAAATGCAGGACGTGTATGTAGGAATTTGTGGCATCTAGTGGTGAGATTGCAGATTGCAACCAACTGAAACTACAGTGGCTGCAAAAACGCCCCTATTTACTACTACTGTAGAAACATGGCGGTTCAACATGGCAGACTTCGCCACTAGAAGAGGACCCGCTCCC